GGCCCGGGGCCGGCCCGGTGCGGGGAGCGGGGCTGGGCCGGCCCGGCGGGAGCGCGGAGCTGCCCCGGGGGCAAAGCAGCAGCCTTCCCTGCCTTCCCCAGCCCCTGCTTTTGTGTTTTTCTCCGTCTCTGACCCCGCTGAGGGCTCAGCCCTTGTCAGGAGGCTTAGGGCATTAATACCGCAGGTCGGGTTGTCACGGTACTCCCGGAAGCGAAATAAAAAGATAGGGAGTAGGACCTGGAATGCTGACTGAAACTAGAGTCCTGAAGCTACACCGTTACTCATCGTTTGTGATTATCTGTTGCGCGATGTAGATACTATTTTACCGCATTGTAATAGCTATTTTATTGGTCAAGAATAAAATTAACCTCTCTTTAACAGCTGCGTTCAGATGTTGTTAGACCTATGCTTGTTTACTTTATAGGTGAAAAATTCCAAACATAAACAGCAATGTGCTACACCTGTCCTCAAAGCTGACTTGGCTAGAAGTGGAATGTAGTTTCCTGACAGATCTTCTTACAAAGAAGTTGTAAATCCTTTGTAATGGCCAACAAGAAAGAGCCTCCTTTTTTCAATGAAGATAATATGGGACCGTTTCACTACAAGCTTCCTTTTTATGAAACTATGGAGCTCTTCATTGAAACGCTCACAGGAACGTGCTTTGAACTGCGAGTTTCCCCCTTTGAAACAGTTATTTCTGTGAAAGCTAAAATTCAAAGACTGGAAGGTACTATTCTGTCTTGTTTCAGTGTAAATGTTGTCACTTTAGAGGAAGTCTCTTATGAATTCTAATTGCCAAATTAAACCAGTTATTTTAAACTACTTGTTCAGTGATAAATATCAACTAGGCACTCAGTATATGGCTTAGGTTTAATTGAAAATGGATTATTTTCTTTTCCTTTTCTATCAGTTCATGGTTTAGGCTTCACTGGAAATGATATTTTTTCTCTCTTTTTTTGTGTATGTGATTATTAAAACAAATCTTAAAGTCTGTGGTAAATCTTTAATTGTTTTGATACTATATGGGATACAGGGTTTTTGGTGGTGAAAGGATTCTCTGACATAAGTTAACTAGCAAGTTTATAAACTTGAGTCTTGCAGTATGTCTCTATTACAACTATCAGAGCACAATTCAAGCTAGGTGCTATTGTTGTCTCTTATGTTAGTCAGTTTATGGTTTGTTTATGATACTGCAGTCACAACAGCAGCTACAGTGCAGGCAAACCCCAAAGACAGCTTGAAGTTACCGGTTTGAGTTTTGTTCAGGTGAGTGATCTTTTGTTGGTATAGGTCTGGCTGAGCAATGTTTTGTCTCAAAGTGATGAACTTGGCATGTCTTACAAAGTGAAAAATCTCAAAGGAGATAAGTTATCTCACGCCTTTCCCTCTATGATGAGAATGATCCTGCATTAAATAACGTGATTTGAAATATGTATGTATATATACTTCAGGTGCTTTGCAGCATTGCATCTTCTTTCTCACTCTGGAGCAGTAAAAGTACTGAATAGCTGCACAAGCTGAGAGTACTGTATTGGAGTTGCTATTGTTAAGAAAAGGGATCTTCTCTTTCCCCAGTATATCTGTACATGTTTTTCATACTTCCGTCTGTGTGGAACTGACCCTCTGGGATATGTAATATGATGCTTCAGACTTTAAGATACACTCTCCTCCAGTTGCAGAAATCTGTGCTAATAGATGAAAAAAACGTAGCTGGCACAAGTCTTAAAACACAGAAGCATTGTAACAATAGGGGTGACTTTTTTCTGGTAAGGTTACTTAGTAGAAGCTCTACGATGCAGATATCTAGAGTTTACATCAGTGTAACTACGTTAGTGGAGCTCTGTGGATATGCTTTGTTTCCTGTGGGCAGGGCCGTAATTACTTACAAGTCAGAGAATGTGTTGAGATGCTCCTGGAATCTAGAAGAGAAACAAGAAAAGGGTTTTTCTTCTCTGTGACTGAATGTAGGTGTAGGAGAGATGCAAGCAGATACGTGATAGAATGCTGACTAGGAGTATATTAAAAGGGAACATAAGCAATAGAATACAGAAAGTGGGCTGTGGACATTATAAATGAAGGAATGAGCTTTACAGGATGCATGAAGAGACTAATGGGATATGTGAGGAAGAGGAATTTTAATTTCTTGTGGTCCAAAACAGGAGATAGCAAATAGACATTTTTTAGTTTGAATTACACCTAGAGCTTATTATTGTAGCTGGGTGTGCCTAGTTTACTAAAGTATCAGAATTTCTTATCAGAAGAACAGCTCAGTAATACTAGACTTTGCTTATTCAGAATTTTTTTCATATGTAGTTCATAGGATGATAAGGTACTTAATGGCTTAGGTACCTACTGTATAGACAATTATTAAAAAAAATAATCATTAGAACATGGAAAAGTTCATTGTTACTTATCACTGAATTGTTAGAAGCCAGTTGAAATATCTTGATACTCCCGTTGAAATATCTATAATATCCTGATTAATATAATTTATGGGAGGCAGAGTGAAAATATTGATCAGCTGTGTGTAAAAGGAACAGACAAGACACACATGACAGATTCATTTTCTGTTGCATTTAGGGTTCCTATTCCATGTAAAACATTGTCAACATTTCAGTTGCAAAGTTCCTATTATAGTGCAAAATAAAATAAATAATAAAAAAATCAATCAGGTGAGGTGGATTGAAAATCCTAAAGTGAATTTGTTATTGTGATTTAGCTTGGGAAATAGAAAGCTTACATCTCTTCCTGTTTCTGCTTCTGGTTTTCACTTTTTGTTTGTATTGTGTCAACTTTCATGGAGTGTGAACCTCTCTCATTTAAGCTGTGCTTCTGGTTGGAGAAGGCTTCCTACACTGCTGGGAGAATATGTGAGGTCCCTAGAATGCATATTGTCTTTGTGGACTCATTTGGGTGTTGAGGATGATGGTGTGTATGCATACAAAAATAAAAGTTTTGATAAAATTTTCTGAGATCTCCAAGAACAAAATCTAGAATTGTATCAGAAGTTAACAAAGTAGTTCAAATGTCATCAGTGCGTCTAGTTGTAAGGGGCTAATAATAAAACTAAATCAGGACAAACTGATCTTTGTGAACAACTGGAATATCAGTGCTGTAGACGGCACTGTAATAAGAAAGGACAACATGGATGGCATGTTAGGAATTTAGTGTAGTTCTGGTACTGTTTGTCATTCTTGGTGCCTATTTAATGATCTAATAGGGAAAGGGTTTGTTTAGACAGCTGTAGTAGACACTGGTACCTTCCTAAGAGCTCCAGCTCCCCAGCTTTCTATTTCTAGTTTGTTTTAGTCAGTAAAGAATACAGGTAAAATTTAATAATGAATTCTAATGCATCTGAAATTTCAGTGCAAGTCTACTTAAAAGCTGAAGTTAAATATCCAGTGTCTGTTTGAACCAGATCCTCAATTATGTTCCATTGGAAGTAAGCACTTGGTATAAAAAAAATGATAATGCTGACTTTGGAGCCACCTAGGGTGAGTTGCTGCTAGTCTTGATTCACTGAATGAGCTTTTTAAAATGATATGCGGGAGAAGAAATAGTTCCCATTGTCTGGTGGAGGCTTAAAAGCTAGAAGAATATGTACAGCCAGCACCATAGCATGGTGTTGCCAGCAGTGATATTTTATTATTATGTGTTTGAAAGCAGGATCATGTGTTGAGGCACATGGATAGGGCAATCCTGAAGTTTCAGGGTGACATGAAAGACTGAGGCTTAAACACATGAATGGTACTTTAAAATAGCAGAATTTCATTGAAAGTGTAAATAGATGGGTTGGGTTTTTTGGGGGTGTTGCTGTGGTGGTTGATTGGTTGTTTTTAACTGAGGTGATCTCTTCTTGTGCCCTCCATTGCACAAGTCTTTGTATCTGATGGGCTGGGCAAATTTTAGTATTCTTTTGGAAGCACCAAGTAGCGTATTGAATTTTATAGAAGGAAGATTCAGACAGTGTATTCCTAGTAGTGGTTTATTCTTGCATCTGTTAAAGAACCATAGATAATACTTGTAAACATATTTGTTCAGCAAGATAGGATTGAGTCTCTAGAGAGGCGGTGGGGTTTGGAATTTGGTGTTGGTATTATTAGTATTATTATTATTACTATTATTATTAATCTTGTGGGAATTAATTTGCATTCTACCATATGGAGTGTTATGGCCTTCATTTATGTAGCTAGCTTTAAAACAAAAAACCCCACAACAGTGATGGTTTGTTCAGTAACTGCAACTGAATTTTATGATCTGTGTATGTGGAAATATTTACCTTTTTAGATGAAAATTTACATGTTCTTGTTTTATTGTTAAGGACAAAAACAGAACTAGCTTGCAGACTACAGCTGAATTTGGAATGCTTGTGTTCAGCAAGGAATGACAGATACAATTGTGTGTGTATTCTCAATTCATCATGAGAGCTGTTATTTTTCTTTGGTCTTTTTGCTGTCCTTTTGCTGCATATGTACACCAGCTTCACTTTAAGTGAAAGGAACTGGGTGAATATCAAGCATACTTCTGGATGTTTTATTTCTTTCATTATTCTATGACTTTAGACTATACCATAATGATATTTACTACTGTTTGCATTAGAGAAAATACCCATGCTTGTCTCAGGACCAGAGTAAGTGGATTGCACAAGTGTGAAGAGTTTTTAACAGAACCAATCTTGCTTTTTTTCCTGTCTTCTACTTCTCCTCTGTCTTCTGTTTGCTTTGTCATTTGATTGTTTACTGTGCTGATAGAGAGTAGAAGTTCATGAAGCTTTTTTTGAGTTTATGCATTGCATGAACTGGGATAACATACCTGCAAGTGCAAGCCTGTGCCCAGATCATATTGTTAGAGCAGAATCTGGAAGGTGTAAGTAGGGTCACCTTTCTCAGGAAGTTTTGTAGGCCTATATTCAGTTACTGGTGACTCGCTGTTGTTACAGTCTTTTTGTCAGTCTCTAGGATAAAGGGCAGTACTGACCACCATTTACACTAATGTTAATATCATGCACATGAAAGCTGGAGGCTTTGGCAGTTACAAAAATGGTCCTACTGCTGTAAGTTGGGAAACTTTGCACCTCTTCATTAGTGTAGCTATTTTGTGAAGGAAAGACTGTCAGCCCAGCCTTTCTGTAAGCAGCAACAAAAAGTAAATGTTAAAGAAACTTTTAAGCAATTCCATTGTTGGATGAAAGGTGAGTATGCTATTTCAGCTTAGACTTTGAAATGTTTGTGGTGTTTTTAAACATTATAAAATATAATATTAAACATAAGTAACCTTCTACCCACAACATAAAATCAGGTTTGCTCTGAAATCTATAGAGGGTTTTTTTTCTGGGTCAGGCTTGACCACTCCAGTTTTTCTGGTGAGTCTGCTTAGCATACCAGAAATAAGAATAAAGGAGTGAAGCTTAAGGGTGTATCTGATATGCTGATTCAGAAACAGGATAAAGTACCTACCTCTCTTCCCCCCCCTCATTTTAGTAGGTCAGGTTGTCAGTGCATCTGCAGGCTCTTCAGTCCTGCTATAGCATCACCTAGCTAGCCCACTTCTACTGGAGTGTTTGTTGAGATTTACCTTATTGCCCTACTTTTTGCTCAGTGCTGATTTAGAGCAGTCCAGTGATACAGTCATATGCTGCTTAGGGAGAGGGGTTAGTGGAGGGGTATCTTGCATGTCTCGTTGCAAATTTTACATGCTGATCTCATGTGCAAGTGTACTCAAGAAAGTCTTACTGTAATCCAGAAAAGGGGACAGCTGATGCGTATTTTCCTGCACCTGAACCTATAAAGTACATACCATTTCCTCTGTGTATAAACACAGAAATCTTAGAAAGCAATATAAAAGAGAATTAGTAATAAAGACTTGTCTGTTTCCTATTAAAGCAGAGTATAGTCTTTTCATCTGTTCATTTCATCAAAAATACATTGTCATTGTTAAATGAACAAAAACATGTTTCACTGCAGCACTGCCAGTGCAAGCCAGCCTTTTTAACAAATACTCTCTCAGTTTATCAAAGTAATTGGAAATTGCTCCTTCGAGGCTGCTGAAACCATAACAAATGCAGACAGTAATGACTGTTTGTAATCTGAAGACTACAAAACAACACAGAAAATAACTTCTCTGTAGACTCCCTGGTTGTTGCCAGCTTGTTCTTGTTTTGCTTATGCTTCAGACTGGAAATATAAATAATGACCAGTTATTAAATAGCTGGCAGTGTAGTAACAATTGTGTTAGTCTACTATATGAATATATTCCCTTAATAAATGTCTTGCGGACATCAGAGGACAAAAGCTTCACATTAAATGCCATCCAAGTGAAGTCAAGTTGTGTTGGTCAGTCACTAAAGAGAAGGTTTAGATGTGAGCTGTGGTGAGAAAAGGAAATTGTCTTCTTCTGTAAAACTTGAATCTTGACAATGACAGTTCCTTCAAAGTGCACTCCCTTTGCTGTTCTGGGATGTCCACTTAGCATGTCTCCTATTTGCCTATTGAATTACTTGGACTTTCACCAGAGTCTGGTTTCCTTTTTTTCTTTCCTGGTGATGGGTGTTGGTAGCTTTTAACCCCTTCCAGTTAGGAAAGGGGTACTTAGCTGACCTTTTGTCACAGCTTGCTAAGCACTCATAGAAGCCTTGGGAACCTGAGATGTTTTTGGAAGCCACCTGAACACTCTGGTCTTTGTGTTCCCCTCTTGCCAGATGTATTTTGGGAAGTTTCACTGTGTAGCATGACTACTTGCATCTCCTTTTAAGTATCTGAACATGTCACAGACTAGTAGGGGTTGGAAGGGACTTCTGAAGAACATACAGTCCAGCTGCCCTGCTAGAGAAGGATCAAGTACAGTAGTTCACATAGAAACACATCCAGTCAGTCTTTGAATGTCTCCAGGGATGGAGACTCCACAGCCTCTCTGGGCAGCCTGTTCCAGCGCTCTGTTATGGTCACAGTAAAGAAGTTTTCCCTTACGTTTACGTTTAATGTAAGGTTGCGGTTTAATGCTGTTAATGATACTAACGATTAGTTTAACATGCAATGAATAGAAGTATAAGATAATGTTACGTTAAAGTAACTTTTTGGAAAATACAGCTTTTGCTTTTTAGCATGCGGAGCAGTGTTTGAACCTTTCTATAAAAAATAGCTAGTAGCCTCTATAGGTTTTAATTTTACACACAATGAGATCATATTTACCTGGATTTTCCAAGATAAATTGAACAATAGTGTTCCTTTTGGCTGCTGAAGGGAAGAGTTTGTTGTTTAGGTGTTTTTTTAAAGACAAAAAAGACAGTTCTTCATCTTCCTACTAGCCTTATTTCTTTTTTGTTTGTTTGTTTATTTGTGATCTGAAACGTCTTACCCTTTCATATCTGTCCAGATTAGTACTCTAGCCAAAATATGGAAAGTGGCATCATTGTAGTAAAAATGTGGGAAGACCTCAGTTTTTACCAGCTCATACTACCTTTTGTTACTTCTGTATCCAAATGACTTGACTATTCAGGCAAAAAGAAACAAAGTTAATAGTTTTACAAAACACGGGTGTTTAATAAGGAACACATACTCATTGTGCTTACTTTCTTTTAACAAAAAAATATTAAAATCGCTCGCAGAACTTGAGTTGAAAATTAGTATTACTGGATACAAGTAATAAAATGTTTTGATGGTCTAAAAGAACACCCACAACAAAAGTGTTCCTAGTATGAAGTTTGACTAACTGCTATGGTACTATATTTTCCTTGTGAACTTTCAGGTTCCAAACCTAGCAGTGATAAAAACACACACAGTTGTCGTTACTGTAACAGAACTGCCACCAGTTACCTTAATGCAATCTTGTCTTTACAGAATATCAGTCTGTGATTAAGTTATCAAGCAGTTCTGTAGTTAAAGTTTTAGGCTGTTTTTTTTTCTGTGAGTAGATATAAAGCTGTGAGGTACAGATAATAGGAAAAAAACCTCCCTAGCAAGTATTAGATAAGTCTGAAGGAATTTAATACTTTACAGACTCCTGTTGAGCCAAAAGATTGAACTCTGACTGTGAGCACAAGTCTGCTGAAAACCTTACATTTTTTCTTAATAACTGTTTGGGCAGTTGCATATCATGACTAAAGTCAGCTAAAGCTGCCTGTCCTTGTTCTACTTCCTTTCTTCATTCCCCTCTTGTCTTTCTTGCCTCTGCTCCATTACACCCATGCTTTTCAAAAAGTAAAAGTAAGACTTCTCCAAAGCCCTTGCATGAAGCTCCAATTTTAATACTCTTTTATTTTTGTTTTTGTTCAGGTATTCCTGTCTCTCAACAGCACTTAATTTGGAATAATACAGAACTGAAAGATGACTATTGTTTAAATTATTATAAGTAAGTATAGAATAAAATTGCACTGATATTTCTAAATTATTGTTAGCATAGGCAATAGAGAATACTACCAAAAAAATTTATTGTTTTTTACAGCATTTCAGAAGGCTGCACTCTGAAGTTAGTTCTGGCTATGCGAGGTGGACCTGTTAACACTAGAAGAGGTAGGTGTTAACTCAGTTAAAAATAGTGGTTTTCATGCAACATCTTAAAACTGTAAACAGCTTCTCTTAGCTAAGCATTTTAGATTATCAGACTTCAGTTCCAAATTAATTGGAAAAATAATTTTTTAAAGGAGGTATTTTTTCCATCTTTTTTCCCTTAGCATACCAAGTGCCACCATCCTTTTTGGTTTTGTTTACCCTTAGTTTATCGGGTATCTTTGTATGTATAGAATCATCAAGTCTTAAAATCAGCAATTCTTCACCTACAGACAAAATTATACTATAATATCATTATACAAATAGTTTTAAAAATCTGGTTAGTAAGAATCAGCCATTGGTTCAGTCTGATGATAAGCTTAGTTGTATGGAATTGAGGAATGAAAATGGAGAAATCTCCTTGATAAAACACCCAGCATATCTTCTAGGTTGTGAATTCCCGTTGCAAACTGAGCTGAGCTTTCAAAAATTGCAGTGGTGATGATGTTCATAATAGTAATAATATTTATTTTTTTCTTTTTGTAGTTCCTGTGGAAGACCCTATCCGGGAAATGGCTGAATACATGCATCCCAGTAGAGAGGAGATCTGGGAGAAAGGGCCGTCCAACAAACAAGTTACTTTCTTAGTATATCGAGAAGGGGATCAGTTGAATTTCTTCCGTGTGGTAGATCGAGGAGATGGTACTTTAACACCATTATCTGAGTCTTTGAGGTAAAGTTGGTTTTAATCTTTATTTTTCAAAAAGAAGATGCTGTATAATTTTCAGCTTTATTTGTTGACACTATAAAAAGAGTATTGGTTATGTATATATAAAATATTGCATGAATTTGTTCCCTAAGGGCTACTTAAATGCTGTAACTGACTGACCTAATGATACAGCAGTACTTTGTGGTCAGTGGTCACGCTGACAGTTGTTTGTCACTGTGTATGTCAGCAGAGTGAGATAAAGATGACCTCATGTTTGAGACAATTCTTGCTCTTGAGGCAATTCTCAACATTCCAGCTCCTTCTGAAAGAGAACATTTCATAGGAGAGTAGATTTGGAAATAAAGATACTAAAAACTTTTGTTAAGTACTTTCTTTTCCATCTTAAAGCATTTGTTTAGTTTTAGAAAAATTTCTCTCTTCACAGCTGAAACTTTCTTTTTCATATGAATGTGACTTGACCAAATGATTAGTCAGGAAGATGCTAGATTGGTGGTGCAAATCCTGAGAGGATTTGTCTGAGCTTTAAGAGAAACTAGGGGATTTTGGTTTGGTTTGTGGCTTTTTTTTAATTTTAAATATACTGAAAAAAATTACCAATAGAGCTAGCCTTTGAACATATTTAGGCCTCAGATTAACTACTTGTTTAGGTACCAAACTTGTCTCAATGACTGTCACAGAATCAAAGTAGTGTTGTCATCTGCAGAGCAAGTATGTCACGTAGGCTACTACTTTGTTCTGTCATAGAATACTAGGATGGAAGGACCTCAAGGATCAGCTGGTCCAACCTTTCTAGGTAATACTGTAGTTTGTATGAGATGGCTCAGCACCCTGTCAAGTTGAGACTTAAAGCTGTCCAATGTGGGGGAATCCATCACTTCCCTTGAGAAACTATTCCAGTGTTTGATTGTCCTTATGGTGAAAAATTTACCTCTTGTGTCCAGTTGGAATCTCTGCAGGTGCAGTTTGTGCCCATTACTGTTGTCTCTTCCATGTGACATCTTGTAAAAAGGGAGTCTACATCTTCTTGGCAGTCACTCTTTAAGTACTGGAACGCGGTAACAAGGTCTCCTTTAAGCCTTCTTTTCCCAAGGCTGGACGAAACCAGTTTTCTCAGCCTCTCATATGGCAGGTCCTCCAGTCCCCTGATCATCCTTGTGGCCCTTCTCTGGACCCCTCTCCAGCCTGTCTGCATCTTTTTTGTAGAGCAGGAACCAAAACTGAATGCAGTACTCCAGGTATGGTCTGTCAAGTGCTGAGTAGAGTGGAATGGTGACTTTATTTCTGCTGGTGATGCCCTTGTTGATGCAGCCGAGCATTCTGGTGGCTTTCTTTGCTGCTGCAGTGCACTGTTCTCTCATGTTGTTGCCAGCTGGGGGAGGAGATATTTACTGTCACATTCTGGGTGTGGTCTGTCAGCCAGTTCCTCACCCACCACACCAGACCCACTTGTTAAGGCCGTAACAGGTGAGTTTCTCTAGAAGGAGGCTGTGTACCAGCACTCACTAGCTCCTTTACCCTCCATGGAAGCTTCCCACAGGATTCCTTCCAACTGAGCCCTATCTGAGCTGAAGTTTGCTCTTCTAAAATCTGAAACCTTTTTTCCTGGAATTAACCTTAACCTTCATTGTACTCAGCAGTATCCCAAACTCCATGATATTGTGATCACTGCAGCCAAGTCTGTCACTGAGATATTACAGAGCAGGTTTTCTTGTTTAGTGTGTAGTAAGTCCAGCTGTGCTCCATTCCTGTTTGACACATCCAGCTTTTGTGTGAGGAAGCAGTCCTCTGCACATTCCAGGAACTTGATTGATGACAGGTGATCTCAGTGTTGTTCTTCAGCCAACGTCTGGGTAGTTAAAGTCTCCAATAAGAACCAGGTTTTGTTGACCCAAAACTTTATCCTGAGCAACCTGAGTATCATTGCATTTGTCACATCATCTTGGTTTGGGGGTCAGTAACAGATGCCTACTGTAAGGTCAACCTTGGAGACAATCCCTCTGATTTTGACCCAGAGGCATTCAATAGGGCTACCACAATTACCATAGTTGGTTTCTATGCATTCAAGGTTTTCCTTAACATAGAGCGTGACTCTTCCACCTCTTCTCCCCTGCTTGTCTTTATGAAACAGCCTGTAGCCATCTACCACAGTCAGTTGTCCCACGATGTTTCAGTTATTTCTGTGATATCATAACTATCTGACTGGGCACAGAGCTCCAGTTTCTTGTGTTTATTTCCTAGACTGCACGTGTTAGCATACATACACTTCAAGTGGCTGGCATTTTGTTCTCATTTAGCGAGACAGCTAAGGCAAACAGATAATTTTTTATTTATTGTAATTATTAAACTATTATACTTCTATTAATATGCTTTAATTATTTAATACTTTTTCTTTAATATTCCGTAAACAGATTATTACCTATAATTGGTAATATCTATTTTAAAATACTAGATTCTATGTTTACACTGCAGCTTTTGTGTAGGGTTTTATTATCCACCAAAGAACTTAATATTTGAACAACTGTAAGGAAGAGTTCCTATTCTGAGGACTAGCTGCATTTTCTCCAAGGCTAAGGCTTGCACTGTTTTAAGTAAGTATTCTTGTTTCTGTTTGCAAAGCGAAAGAAGAACTTTGTACTGGATTTATATTCAGTATGACTCAGTGTGTTCAGAGTGATATTACTCTTAGAAACTTTTACAACAGATCTGTACTTAAAAACTACAGGCTGAATATCAAGGTTGAATTCCCACATAGTTACCCAGAGTAGAAAGACTTAAGTGTTTTATATACAATTACTGGAGGGAAAGAAGAGGAAAGATACAAACATTTTAGATCTGTGATCTCCTTTGGCCCCTGCAGTCTTTTTCAGTAAACAGCTACATATGGTGTTGTGTCTCAGTTTGAAATAAGTAAAAACCACCGCCTTCATCTGTAAGAACTGAGAACCTTGCTGTTGCATTGGCCTAGATACACTTCTGGAAGGAGGAGCAGACAGATATAATTCCTGTTCTCATTGATCTGCTTATTACCAATTTTTTCACTTTTACCTCTTCAATCCAAAGAACATTCAAACTAATCCAGTGCTAGGGCTGTGGATGCTTAGTGTGAGTTGATGCAAGAAGTTGTCAGAAGGAGCCTGTACTTCATTTTTTAAGTATAATGGGATCCCTGATAATCTGCCTACATGTTAAAATTCTTGTGTGTATGACTATTTTTTTTTCCATTTAGAGCTAGTATGAACAATTCTATTAAATTCTTAGTACTTTTCAATTAGGTTATCCTAAAGTATAGATTAAATAATAGTTTGCTTGAGATTGACTAAATGTAGCAAACCAGAGGAATAAACTACACTCTTTTGGCTCTTGCAAGGCATCTCAGTAAGCCTTCAAAGTGCGTCAGCATGTATAAAAGTCTCAGTACGTTCTGCTTAAGAAATGTGCTGTCACTGGTCAAGTGAACCAATTATGTTGGAAGCCACCTGAGTTGAAACACATTCAACTGAAGCTGTTTCTCTTCCTCTGTTCTTTCTATGGAAGTTAAATTATTAGCTTTTCTACTAAGGCAGACTGTAATTTGGGGGCAGGAGGAAGAAATATTAATTTTCAGATTTTTTATTTTGGCTGGATCAGACTTGGTGGGAAATGAAAAATACAAAGGGAGGAGAGAATGGAAGCAAATCAGACATTTTCGTTTGATTTTTATAGAGAAAGGCTATGAATCTGAATACTAGTGTTTTCCACACTGGTAGTTGAGTGTGTTTATATATGTGTGGGTGTACTGGTGGCTGAGCATTTCGAGGCACTTGTTTATCAGCTTTTCTCACATCGCTTACATATGGAGCAGAATTTAGTGAATGCAGTTTAGAAACGCATCATTAGTTTGGGTTTTGTTTTACAGTTCTCCAGATAATTTTATTTTGTCTGTGGTTAAGTTAATGGTTAAAATTTGACAAGGTGTAAATACATAGAATGATTGTTGTCTCTGAATTTAAAAGAAAATTCTTGGAGTTGTGGTAGAACACTGGCAGGCTCTGGTATTAAAAGTGCTTTTAAGAAAGTACTGATCATTGTTGAGATGTGCATTTTACAAGCAGCATCTTACTAATTTTGACAGCTATGTACAAAATAAATTTTAGATTTACTCATTGGAAAATGAGCTAAAAGTACCATCAACTTCTATCATTTTACAATCACATTAAACGAAAAAAAGCCCTTTTATTGCTCCTTCTTTTTCTTCTTGTTTCTTTGGCTCACATTTAGTCAGAAAATGCAAGAAAAAGAATAGCAATTATTTTTGCATAAAAAAACTCAAACAAAAAAACAACCAAACATGCCACTTTTATTTTTATCCTTACCTTGAAGGAGGGGAAATTCAAATAACTGTTTTGAATTGGTGACCTAGGTCTTTGAACAGTTAAAATTCTGAAATTATTCTTTCATATTGAATCTTTCCCAGGAGAGATATGTGATAGGCATGCTTACTGTCCTCATATAGAGCTGTTCAGCTTTTGTAAGAAATGACTGGACTATTTTGCTGACTCTTACTTTAAATTTGCTTCAGTCTTGCTCTTAAAGATCTGTCTGCCACCTGTGCTGCCTTTGGAATTTTGCTGCATTTTAGGACATTGATTTAGAGAGTCAATGCAAAAGTATTGTCTCTTAACTAAGGGCAGCAGAATATTTCCAAGAATCAGGTAAGATGCCAGCTATAATTACCAATATTTATTTTTTTACTGACTTTCATATGATCTTTAGATCTTTCTTGGTCTCTTTTGGAGAGCAGAAACTTTATTTAATACTAAGACATTTGTATGAACACGGGGGAATTGCCTGATTGTCACAATTTATAGACGCTGACAGCCTACTGGAAGAATTAAAACTTTATTTAAAACGTACTATATACAGTGTTGAAAATGCATACTTTTATAATTAATTGGATCCTCCTTATTGTTCTTTCACTCTAAAATTTTGGATGTGTCAGTGATTAATGCTTCATAAGAAAAACAAGTTAGATACTGACTTTAAAATATTGGTTTTTTGCATTCTGTTAGTATATGGAATGGAAAAAGACAATATAATGCTAGACATTTTCAGTGATTACTGAGTTAAAATATTTTGGTTTGGGTCTAGTAATTCTAATCTTTGTTTTTTTCCAAATGGGACACTCTTTGGAAACCTAAACTGAACTGTTTGTTTGTTTGTTTGTTTTATTTTGAAAAGGAGAAATAGAATATCACATCCACATGGGTGACCCCTCCATTTCCATTTATGGTGAGAACACCCCTCAGGATGGATAGAAATTTGGACTTTCCTTCCCTGCCAGTGTCTGGTTAATTGGAAAACTGATCAGCTTGTTGTCTGAGTCACACTGTTAACAGCTTTGGCCCTACCTTCAGGAGACATTTGTGGAACTGGATATCCCCTCTGTGGGGAAAATATATAGTGAGTGTGAACCAACTGTATATGGTATAACAACTTCCCAGAGCGTGGCTATGTTCTGATTTCAGCATCATCACTTTATGTGAACATCTAATAAGGAATGCTTGTGTCTTAAAGTAAATGGATTTGAAGTGTCTTTGCATACAATTTTACATAATGCTTTGTCAACAGATCAACTACGGATGTGACTTGCTAGTTGTGAGAATATTCTACATTGAAAACAATTAAATTACTTGCTTAGAGGGTGAACACAAACTCTCTTATTTTCAGTGGTGGTTCTGTTTATAACGTATATGCTGATGATGAAGATGAGACAGAGGCATCACCTTCTGGTCAACAAATTATTGAGAATTCAATTACTATGAATAAAATGAAACTGCTCAAGGCAAAGATGGAGAACATGAATCTGAGTAAAAAGGTGAAGTTGTGATTTCAAATTTTTTATCCTAAAATTGCTTATCCTAAAACAACTTTCCTAATGTTTTTTCTAAAAAGTAGGTCAGATACTTTGCTGTCTTGGGAAGTGAGGTGATCAAGGGTAGATGATGCTTATCTATTGTATTAAGTAAATGCCTTGTATAAATGTTCTGGTACAGGGCATTGTCTTTTCTTGGATCTACCTATCTGCATTCAAATAATTCACAACTGATCCTGAATTTATTTGCATACATGAGGGTTTTTAGGTGTGTGTGGGTTTTGGTTTGGTGTTTTTTTAGATTTTTGTCCGTTTTTCTTCCAATGCTTTAAGTAACACTGCTTTGCAGTACTGCTCTGGTAAGAATCAGTGTTGCTCTTAAATGAAACTTAATTAGAAATACTGTAACTGAAAAGCCTATAAAGCTCAATACAAGAATGAGACTACCTAGAAGAGAAAACATGTTGGTGTTCCTGTCTGTCTTGGTTACCTAGATGTAAAATGAAGATGATATACTTCCTTTGTTTGTCCTGTTTGAGACCCTAAGCTCTTCTGGATAACTTTGGTGGCATTCTGGCTTCCCTCCTGTTTTTCTGACATGTGGCCTATCTACTAAAAAGTCTTATTATAATCTTCAGTTGTATTATTCACATGTTGGGGTGAAATCTTGACAGCTAGTAACAAATGAGCAAGTAGAAAGAATTATTTGGTTCTTTTTGCCTTATGCTGTCTGAATTCCTGGGAATAGGATCTGATTCAGGTCTTTGAATGCAGCCATAATTAAAATACTAATTGTTGTTCTGTGTAATTTTTTTTAATAGCCTAAGAAAACTGTCAAGGTGAAACCTCGTCCTCCAGTGGCTCCTCGACCATCTAGTGGCTCAGTGACTGCAGCTCGTCACCGCTTCTTAAGAGTACTCCCCCATATTGGACAGTCTTGCCTACCTCCTCCTGGAAATTCATATCCTTCAGAGTCTTCCCAAAATGCACTTTCAGCATTGGCTACTTTGGCCACTGCTGGTAGACCAATGCCAGCCACAACTAATGACTTCCTTAAGGAAGATGACACTTGGCAGAGCAACTCTTGGTCTCAGTCAGTTGGTAGCATCAGGTTACCACCAAAAATATCTCGTGTTGAACTTGAAAATGCAAAACTACCTAGAAATAGTATTTTGACTCCGGTTTCATCTCGGCATGCAAATTCAGAAAAACTATCAGAAAACCTGACCTCAACAAGCGAGGAGGATGCTGTTTTGTTTCCGAACTTAACAAATGTAGAACTATATGGAACAGAAGAAAAACTTCTACCTGAAACAGATGCTTTTGCTTTGTTAACAGAAGCAAGCAGTGCTGAACAGGGTAGTGAGATATATGACATAGGAAAGGTGAACACAGAACTTGGACTGTCTGAGGGAGATGATGAATCTAAGGTTGTAGAACAGCATAGAAAACCCATTGGAAAAGTGCTGAGCACTGCAGCAATGGGGACTGGTCTTCTTAGTACTCGTGAATTAAGTCCACAGAAAAATCTGCTTTTGTCACCTCTTCGATATTCAGCACAAGTGGCACATCACAGTTCTCTGAAACCACAAACACAACCCAAATGCTTTGAGGCCAGTGACTTGAGATCTACAGCCTCCCCAAATGTGCTTCGATCGTTGGAAGTCCACAGTGTAGCAGACTCCTCTTTTCCTAGGACTACTAGATTTCGTAGTGTGAAAGTAGAGTCACTTGGCAAAAGACCTGATGTAATTACTAAAACAGAGGCTAGGGACATCACAGATGCAGCTAACAAAGCATCCAAAGAACGTGTGAGTTCTGCAAGTAACTTAGGATTTTTGGCTTCACTTGCCCGAAGTGCAAACAGAGAAAGTTTACAGAGTTCCTGTGGGACAGGCAGGTTTCGGACTTCTGGTATTGCACTACCTACAAACCTTCAGCATTTTCAGGAAGAAAGCTTTAGGAAAACTGCTTCTCCAAGTGAAGCTGCTGAGTATATTCTTGTGAGTACTAATGCTTCCAAAGAAATTAAAGTTTTCTTGACTTCTCTGGTACTGGTTTTACGAAAACTACTTCGGTGTGTGTGTTTTTTCAGGGACAGCAGGTGGGGAGGGGGAGGTCTACTTTAATCCCTTACAGTCTTAAACTGTTTACTGAATTCCTATTGCTATCTTAACTGCCTATTTATCTAAGTGGGTCCTAAAAGTACTTTTTCATAAAAATTGAAGTTGTTACTCAGTTCACAACTAAAATGATCAGGTTTTGTAATTATAGAATTACGAGTGTGTGTGTTTGAAGTGTCATCTGACTTTTTCTGCTGCTTGCTAATTGTCATTTATTCTAAAGTTTGCCCTGTGACTGGCACCATACGTGCCTAGCTTTAGATTGCTCATGTACTTTGTTTTGGTGTGTTGTGAAGTATGGGGGCACTATGAAATAGTCATATTGAGTAAGGCTTTTTATTGCAGAACTTAATTTTTTTGCACAGAAGTCTTCTTGGATTCTTCATAGGTACATTGTTTGATACAACATTGGTTTCAAGTAAGCTGATAGCAGTCTGCCTAGCTTTTCATTTAATTTCCATCTGCTAGTAATTTCCTTGTGGAAATTTTTTCTTTTTAGTCTGCGCATGGGCTTGGAATGAATGGAAGTATTGCAGCTGTAGGGAAAAGAGTAGGTAAGTAATGTGACTTAATAATTGAAGATGACTTTTTAATCTTTCCTGATACATCACATATATGGAGGACAAGAACCACTAATCTTTGTAAGGCATATGTCTTTCAGAGTCCTTGCTGTATTTCACTTCTGTAGCATGGTGTAACTTCTAATATTTTAAGTAATTCTTTAATATACATATGTAATCCATATCTTAGGTAGACAGGATTGTGACTCTTTCCTAGCTTTTTTAATACTCAATGAATTCTGTGTGTCATCTGTAGACATAAACATGACTTTCTGCTCTGAAGTTTCCAAAAGGTCAGTTCTGTTAATACTTTTGTATACTGAAATGGGAGCAAAATTTATCAGTAGCATTGCCTTGAGGACTACAGCCTGAGGCAGACAGATTTGACAAAAGAAAAGTGGGGGCAGTAAGGGCATAGATGCTGAAGATTACTGGTATATTGCAGATTGTCTGTTTTTTGTGATGAGCATCATTCTTTCTACCCTAGTCTTGGTAACTGTGGAGTGCTTAATGGTTGACATCCACTGAACGTGGCTGTGTTGTGCCTAAACATTAATTTCTTTTGTGATTAGTTCTCTTGGGAGGAGTGGAATTGCCTAGATTAGTACTTTTTAAACTCTTAAGACAGCTTTTCTTCACATCTTTAACTTGCTTTGCAGGCTGTCTTTCTTTTCCTAAGGTCATACAGAAAGAAGAGTCAGGCACTTATTGCAGGATTTTAAGATCTAGTTATAGAGAATGACCTGTAAGACAGATCTTCAATTAGCATCTGCAACAGGAAAAATTATGCATTGTAATTGATGTATAAGCAAAAGCTGCTAAAATGGTGGATTGTGCCTTCATTTCACAGCTCAGGGTCCAGCTTTGAATTGACAGTAATTAATAATCAGATCTGTCCTTACCTACTCCATGGTGAATGAGATGATACCCTTATAGTCACACCTGCATTGTAGGGAAGCCTTCTATCATCTGTCATTTTGAACAGTACTGTAAAGATGACACTCCTCTGGTGTATTGTCTGTCAGACAAGAGTGTTTTCCAAAAGGTTGTAAACATGAGACAGACAAAGTTGGTGTCATCATATCATGCAGATTCTTGAGCACCAGGTGTCTGCTAATGATCTACTGTATAACTGGCCAAAGGACAGATTTGGTTTGTTATCCAAGGCCTTCATTTACATGTAATTGCTGTAGGGATCATAAATGTGAGCACAGGTGTATTGGATTTTTCTGTTGAAGTATGGTCCACAGTGGAAGCTGTCTTTTTTCACAGTGGGCTAACTGATGCTCCTGAAGTAGTATGCTTTTAAATTATGAAATTGATAGCATGGACAAACATTGTATGGAAGTTTCCATGCTAGGTAGCAACGTGGGATCCACTGGTTGATAGTGGTGACTGCCTGGTGTTACTTTTGAAAGTAGCCTACTGCATCTCAGCTGAGAAATTACTGTTGAGATTAAAGAAATGCTGGACAAAATACTTCTGAATTCATGAGGTCACTTTTTGGGAGTATCCTGACAAGATACTGGTAGAAGTACTGAAAGAATGTTTAATAATTCCACTGTCCTAGCATTTGGGAAATTTGCATCAGCAAGTGGTAGATTAAAATCTTGCTTCTACAGAAGGAAGGAAGACACCTTTCCTTTACATGCTTCCCAATTACAGAGCAAAAGCCAAGAATTACAGGGAAAAAAGTCAAAGTAAGGTTTTAAGTACAGAAATTTTACCAAAAACTGTGAAGTGTCTTAATAAACTATATAGCTAAAGAGAGGTCTGTAATTTAATAATGCATTTTTCTTGCAATTATACAGTACCAGCAAGATGTTAACATGTTGCAGTATTTATTTGGCAAAAGTAAGTTATTAGCCACTGAATATACTAGGTGCTAGATACTTGAATGTCCAGTTGATTTTTCAGAAAGCTATTGTGTGCAGTGCTTTCCCAATCACATTGTGTTTTTACTTTGCTTTTGGCAAGATCATTAGAAGATATATTTTATTATTCCTTCTGTAACTTCTTGCCAATGTGAACTTTTAACAGGTATTAAAAGTAATTTCAGTCCCACCTTGTGCTGCTTCTTCCAGAAGAGTGGATAGGCTTGAGATGTGGTTTATGTTTTGGCTTTTGGGTTTTTTTCCTTTCTGTTTAGGCAGTGAGGTTCCCACCTGAAGTATCCTAAGAAATGCAAAATTAATCTGGGTTTCAAAAGATAACATTTAACTAGCTTATGATCAAGAATAAGTTAAAAAATGTCCTTGTCTTTCTACCTCTGAAAGCAGGTGAAGGAACCCATCTTCCACCTGTGAATGGCTCAATTCAAGCAAAAAAGAAAATTACAAAGCATTGCTTTCTTTGTGGCAAGAAAACTGGATTGGCAACCAGCTATGAGTGCAGGTAGGCTGATTATATAACCAGCTTTTGTTTAAAATTAATAGCTGGGTTAACCAAAAGGTTTTCAGCTCTACATGGTATTCCTTAAGCATAGCAAATAAAAAGACAACCTTCATAAAAAGTGCAACTCTCAGTTCAGCGGAAGTCCAGGAACTAATAAAATTCAGGAATGTTGTACCTGTTCTGCTGCTGAGGTGTATGCTCTTCTAGGAAAATAAAGAAATGGGAGGTATCAGAATGCAAGATACCAGGAAATAAAGAGCATTATTACAAAAGAAGAAAGATAACATTTTTTACTAGTGTGGAGAGAACTTGCTACAGATTTGTTTTGTAAAGTTTCTCAATAGTATTTACATTGTTAACAACTTGAGGAAAAACTGATTTTGTTGCAACTTTTCAGACAGTCTCCCTCAAATGTGACCCTGTTACAACACAGCTGCACAGTTTGTGAATTTGTACTAATTTATATTTGATAACTTTTTTATTTCTGGGTGTTCTATTACTTGTAAGACTTCAGTCACCTTTGAGCATTTACAGAACCTCAAAAGCAGAATGCCAGATTATGACTTGCAGACAATGTAATGGTGCTTGATGGCAATCATTGGAAACTTACAAATACAACAAAAAAACCCCACCTGTTTTATTGGTTGATCTAGATTCTCAAAAGTACTGATTCCCACAAAATATTATTCTTTTGATACCATTTCCCATGAACTAGTCAAGGTTGGAAACTGCAGTACTATGAGCACTACTTTTGAAGCTGATCTTGGTTCATGCCAATCAAAATCAAAATGACCAAGACTTCTGCCATTGGGGAATTGTATTGGGGAGTTTATGGTTGAGGAACTGCCTCTTCAGTCTTTGATTTTGAGAGTTTTGGACTCTGCACACTTTATTGCTGAGCAAATAGCTGCAAGCTCTTGTAGTAGTAACTAAGCAGATTGCTTAAAGTTAAAAATAAAGCACAGAAAAATGGCGGGAAATTGCACATCTCCAAGAATAGCATTTGTTCTAATTTCAAAAGGAGCAACCATATAACCTTTTACCAGGATGGAACGTGAACCAAATGGAGAATACAGTCATAGGAGAACTGGTGGTTATGTGAGCAAGAACCAAAGAAAAGCAAATTTCTTACCAGGCACACAAAGCCTCAGGAATAACTACAGAGTTTATTACAAACCCTGATAGACAGATGGATAAATAGAGGATTCTGATCTAATAGTGAAACAGTAAATTGGACAAGTAATGCTTAATCCATTTCACAAGAATTCTGATTTTGAATGATGAGTGTAAAACAATTACAAGAAGCAACTTTATCAAATAATAGGGCAACAGGACACGAAAATCAGTTTCCCCTTAACACACTCATTCTGATTAAATCAAACATCCAGAATATACTTTCTCCAGTTAGGAGTCTGAGCTGCTGAACTGTCACATCTAAAGGCAAAAATCTCCTAATCCTAACTTACTGAAATTGCAACTGATATTGAAAAGTTGCACCTCTATCCAGTCATATAAGGAGTAATGTTCCCTATGCATAGTTTGTCTAATGTCTTTACAGTTGACTAAATATGTATTTATTAATCTTAAATTACTAATTTGAGTTTATGCCAGGCAGAAGCTGCGCAGAACTAAACATTTATTTCAGTGCTCTGAATGATGTGGTGTTTTTGAATTTAAATGCATTATGGGGATTCCACCTGATACTCTTATTTTAGTTTCACGGTTTTGTCCTCTGAACTCTACCAACTGATGTTGTTTAAGGTCTTTAAAAAGAAACAAAAATCTCAAAAGCCCATCGTACTGAATTGGTAGGTGTGTTTGATCCGTGATGGTTGGTTCCAGGAGTACTGATCCTGCTTAGGTTCCCAGCTGAAGAGACTGTTGAGTCAAAACTGCATCACCAAGAGTCAAAAATGTTATTTTGATTACCCTACCAGTTAATGTAGCCAGTCAAGAATGATCAGAATCCAAGCAGTTATGTCAAATGAGCAAGACATGATTAGGCCAAGGTCCCCAGCATGTCACAGAGTTAAAAGCTTCTAAAAGCTTCTAACTTCTAATATTCTTGATCCTTCAGATGTGGAAACAACTTCTGTGCAACACACCGCTATGCAGAGACTCACACCTGCACATACGACTATAAGAGTGCAGGGCGAAGGTATTTGCAGGAGACCAATCCCGTCGTTAGTGCACCAAAGCTTCCCAAAATCTAACATGGATGTGCTGCATGTGGCTGTTCTGCCATTGAAGAATTGTATTGAGTTGAGAGAAGCACTTGCTTAAACTGCATAATTTTGTCATGCTCCATATCTAAAGATTTGCCAAGCAACAAAAGCACATGAGGATGCATCCTGTTGAAGAATAATGTGAACACTACTGCGGTTAAAACTTTTCTTCTTTAATGAATGAAAAGTTAAAGATTAGTTTTTAAAAATTTAAACTATGATTTAACTGTTACTGCACGTCTTGTGTTGTGTTTTATATTTTGAAAAGCTATTTCACTAGACAAGTCTTTAAAAGATGCACTTTACTAACTTTATTTACTGTATAACCAGACTTGAGGGGGTGTTGTAATGAGGGGTGTCATGTAATGTCTTCTGTACTCTTGCATTTTTTGTCCATTGTGTGGTATCTTCTAAGTTATTTCACTAGAAAGATTCTCCTCCCTTCCTTTCCTCAAACAGCCTTTTTTGAGATTTTTAAGGGGGTAGTGTGTTCCACTCCTCTGTTCCATTCAGATTGGCATTCATACACTATGTATCTGTTCTGAAAATTACATATCATGTTAATCACATTTTCTTGAAGTAATAGTGTTTATAGGACAGGTTTGGTTTTAAATAGAAAATTCCCCCTTTATTGCCATTAAATATAAGGAACAATTTATTTTAACGTTTTTGTAATCCTAGATTTTTTTAAGACTTCATAACTTGGTTTGTTAAGATGTTGAATGCTGTTACTGGAAGAAATTCTAATAAATATTAAATTTTATTCTGGCTTATGCTCTTTTAAATACACAAAATAACTTTTCTTACCTTACCACATGCTCCTAAATTAAAAGTGGGGCTTTGTTCTGAGGGGGAGCCGGTGGGTTCTGTTGGGTTTTTTTCCCAGAAGCACTGGCTGATCTCTGTTCCTACTGAAGTCAATGACAAAATTCCCACTAACCTCATTAGGAATAGAGTGACTGACAATGTGTGCTTTAAATAAAACTCATCTTGCAGATGTACTAGCAAAAGCAAACAAATTACATCTATTAGCCTGCATCTTTTCTCCCCTCCAGCTGGTGCTGTACAAAGACAGTTTAGTACTTGCATGAGGCATCTCTAATGAGCATGCAGCTAGTGTAGAAAGTGGTGTTGGAGGAATATACCTACTGAAAGCCTTTCCTCTTTCATTTCTTCAATATGTCTAAATCTTTTTATAAGCTTATGTTGCTTGAAGTGTTCTAGGATATAATAAAACTACAACAAGCCACCAAAACAAAAACCTGTCCACAATGAAACTAGACAATTCAATGTCATGGTCCCTGTCTTACTGGAGTCCTCAGCTACTTAGTTGATTGTGGTATTAAGAGGATTTATGCTGCATTCCAGTCCAACAGTAGCAGCTGATGAGCATGGCAATCAAAAGCTGGGCCAAGAAAAGAAAGAGGATAACTGAAAAGGAGAAAAGAAACTTGAAGAATTCTTATCCTTGGAGGAAATCCATTTTATATAGTCCACCTGAAACTTCTTAAACCTGAAGTTTTCAAAGAGTGATGACCTTTGAACAAAGCTTTCAAAATCTTTCTTCTGGACAGTGATAAGGTAAAATGGTAGTTCTGTGTGTAACCTCAAGGCTTATTTCTTCTTACTGGACAAAGTTGCACCTGGTATGAAGGACACATCGTTACCAAGTAGTGCTAGGTACCATCAACATGCCTGTAGTTTTTATTTCATCTCCAGCATGGAACAGTATTTTATATTGATGGAAAAGAATAAGGAATAGGGCAAATGTACTAGTGTTTGCCCAGCAGTTACTTGTTTACTGCTGAGCAACTTTCAAAGATATTGGTCTTTTTAGAGGTACAGTAGAGATTTGTTAAGTAGGTTAAAATAATATTGGCTGTCTTCACTTAACCTGGTTTTGCACAAGTATAATTTTCAGGAAATTATTTGGCAGTAATTTTAGTAAGGTTACATAACTGACGTGTGTGGCAGGAAATCTTGGAGTCAAATCTCAGTTGCAACTCCCTTTCTGCATATGCAAAATGAAATACACAACAATACTTCTCAAAAAATGCAATGTAATAATAATTTCCTTGTATGTGGTTTCTTGTGGTTTTTATTATACTTCATTTTGATTCTACCTAATGCATTTGTGTGCAGAGCTCATCTGGTTTTGTTCTTATCTCCAATACACTTACAGGCACTCTTATTTTCAACCAGTAGTACAGCCCTGAGAGCACTTAAATTTGTAATTAACTGTTCTAGCTGCTAATTTATATGCTACTGAGTTTTACCAAATCCTATGTTAAACTGCTATGGTTTAATTGCCGTTTACTGTGTAAACTTACCTAAACGGTTTGGTTTTCTGAATATTAGTCAGTGCTCTGTGATGCTATGCATCTGCTGTAGACAAATGTTTAGCTTTTGTGTATTTGTTCATGCAATTGCATTGTATGATAAAGCATAATCGCAGGTTAACAATGACTTTGGCGTGTGCTTCTCTGCCTTACTGTCAAGTATTTTTTGTGTGCTGCTTTTATGACCTGTGAGGCATAACCAGGCTAGTCTCTTGTTGAATGACGTCCAGGATTCTTGTGTCGAATTGGCAAGTGCCACAGAGGTGTCAGAAATGTTTCTGGATCTTGAATGTAATATTTCTTTTCTCTGAAATCTTGAGAAGATTATGGTGATAAAAATCTGTCTCCTTGCAATTCTCATCTCTATTCAGCTTGCAATCCCATGGGCTGCAATTGCACTGGTGCCTTCTGCTAACAATCTTCCATTGTGGACATGGCTGGAATTGTTAATGCTGTATGTTATAAAAATGAAGTATTTATAGTTTTTTTAATGTGTCGTTAATGTATCATTTAATGTACATTAATGTATCACTTCAGTTTCTTTTAAAGTAATTGCGACTTTCATAATGGGTCACCATCTCCTGGGTGTAAATGGTGGCTTTGGAGTTACCTGTGCCTGCAAGGAGTTGCTTCCACCTGTGGCTTTTGTGTTGGGTCATGTTTTTCCAATATTTATATAAATCGGATTAATCTTGAAACGCATTTGACACCGTGTTGCGCATGAGAGGGCATTCATTTAACTAAGAGCCTGGGAAGCTATAGGACAGTTGTGTAAGCCTGTGCTGCTTCTGATTACTGTAATTCTTATCCTGATTTTAGTTTGGGGTGCTTTTGCAATGTTTACAATGGTTGAAGTGTTGGGTAGAAAACAATGAAAAAAGGTGACTTCCTTCTTCTATTTACTGTCCTGTTTAAAGATGATTGTCTAAAATGAGATGTGTTCAATAGAAACGTGAACTTGTTTCTTGTGAAGCAGGTATGTTTAGAGCCATTGGGATATTGTGGGCAGTAGCACTTGGGTTTTAATCATAGAATTGTCATAGAATGGTTTGAATTGGAAAGCACCTTAAAGATCATCTAGTTGCAACCCCCGTGCTTGGACAGGGACACCTTCCACTAGACCAGGTTGCTTAGAGCCCCATCCATGCTGCCCCTGAACATGTCCAGGGATGGAGCTTCCACAACTTCCTTGGGCAGCCTTTAGTATGTAGAACTGTAATGATTCACTTTCTCAGTAGAAGTTTGCCAACACAGTCTCCTGTTCTCTCTAGCTGGTTTCAATTCCTGGTTTATATTTGGTGTTTCTAAAGTGACTAATGTGTACCGTTGAATGTTACAAGCACATCTGTGCACAGGTAAAGGAACATTCCTTTTCACTATATTGAGCAAATATACAATGGAAAGGTTTTGCAAGCAAAACATTTTAACTAATCAGAAATGCTTTTGTACTGCTTTTGCCAGAATAGAGCTATTGCTTGAAAAGATAGGGAGGTTTGCTTTTAAATCAGGGGACGCTACACGAAGGCCACAAGATGTCAGTGGAGACCCCCGTCTGAGAGCAGTTTTAGGATAAGCCAAACGTACAAAATGGGGGCAGAACTATATATTTCTAGTGATGCTTAGGCTGTTGCTCATTTAAACCTATTTAATATTCCTAGCCTGTCTTTACTCCCTAATGAATGAAGCATGGATGCCTTTATCAGCTAGCCCTCTGGGGCAGAGCATTTCGGGATGCTGGTCTTTGCCCTCTGCTATTGCTTTGTTTACAGTAGGGTGGATGCTTGCCTTCTTTTTCCTCTTGAAGAGAAATCTATGTTACAACATCTTGCCTTACCAATATGTGAATTTATAGCTTAGTTTTTGCATATTTCAGCCATTCCTTCTCCCTACCACACACACATTCAGTGGCTGGGGGACACTATTTCCAGCTGTTTGGTGGTCAGGCTTGGTCTCCATCTTTTTCATCAGCGAGTCCATGAATAAGCCAGTATATTTGGGTTTCTTGTTAATGTCACCATGTAATTTTTTGCCTTATGTTCTTTTATAGCCACTGAATGCATATTTCTTGGAAAGTGTATCAGGTCAAGTAATTGTTTTGCCTTTCCCATTGACAGTTCTTTAGAAAAAAATAGGGAAATAAATAGGAAAAAAAATTGCCTAAGCAGCAATTTAATAGTGTATCTACAGAAGCTGGCATAAAAGAGGAAGACAGCTTTTTCCCAGCTTTACTATAAGTCTTCAGTGCAGTTTAGTGGTAGTCTGGCTAATTTGAAACAATTTCTGCTGGCAGTGGTTCAGAGTAAGAGGTTTTGTTTGTTCTGCAGTATCTGGAATGAGGCTTGCCTAGTAATTAGGTTTTTTCCTGAAGTTATAATAAGCATCAGTCTTCAAAAAACTGCATCTAGAAGTGTGGCCCACTAGTTTGTACATAACTTTTCCCTTACATAGAAACTTGGTGGCAGCGAACGTGTTGAGGCTTTTGCTTTCCGTGTGAAGATGCAGAGAGAAAGCACCAGGGGGCGGCGCAGGCATTGAAGAATGGCAAAAGTTTTGGTTTGGTCCAGATCATGAGAGTTGCAAAGAAAACCATAGGTAAGGAAAACAAATTATCTGTTTCTTCATGACCCATGTTAAGCTCACTCTGAACAGATCTGAGGAGGCCAGCAAGGTACATTCCTTCCCTTTTCCTATTTCAAAAGTTTTTCAAGAAATTTTGAGATGAATAGAAAAAACTTTTATATGCTGTTTTTTGTTATTACTATTAGGTAATCTTAATGTATTGGAGAACAGAGAGTCCTCCTCTGCTCCTCCCCACTAACACTGCAAGTATGAATTGCAGAGGTGTCTGCCAGAGAAGTTATGCTGGATGCTATATATGCAGTAAAAATATTCAGTAGTATATGAGGAGTGTACACCAGCAAGTGCTCAACCAAACTGACCGAAATTGTCCTATCTAGCCTTAAAATTCAAGAAGCACAGGTCTTCAGCAACAGAAATTTATTCCTAAACCACACTTTAAGGCTGTTTTCAGTCCTTTTAAATCCAATCATCAGTAGGGCTGATTGCTATATATATCATATATATAGTGTGTATATATACCTACATAAGAATGATGTATTCTGATCACCTCTGGATGGTGAATTGTTCCTGAAACTAGGTGTTCTGCCCAGCACCAGAAATTCAAAACAATTCCGAATACTGAAAATAGTACGATTATGTGGTATGTGATTAAGAGGGTTAGTGAGTTGGGAATAAAAACACTGAAGTTTTCTAAAAAGAAAATTCAGGGGTTTGGAAATACCTTATCCTCTTTCTCTTGCTTCGGATTTTTTTAATAAGTGAATATGATTTTTAAAAAAATTGAACAGTTATGTTTT